GCCCCGCCCCGGCCCAAGCCGCGCCCCCAGCCACCTCTCGCCGGTGGGACTAAACAGCGCAGCTCCCCTCGGCCTGAGCAGTCACACCCCCTCTCTACTGCTGTCTCACCTACCAACTGGGACAACACGTCCTCTTCACCGTGCTCAGCCGCGCCCGCTCCCGAACCAGACTTTCCCCTAACCGGCCCATCTTCCTAGGGAACTAAATCTCTTCCCTCTCCCGGTTCCCCTAAGCTATCTCTCCGTCCTGGGTGCCCCAGAGGCGACCCCGGTCGGAAGACATACTTGTCTGCTGCCTAGGGAGCGGCCAACAACATCACCACTGGGGTTGGTGCCACCCAGAGAATTAACTTGGCATCACCCTCAGCCCCCAATGGACTTCCACCCTTCTGGGATCATAGAGTCCTGAGGAATGTTATAAATTTCAATCATAGGCTAATTTATGGTAATCCGAATTGCTTCATGGTACTATTTCTTAGAGTGAAAGAATACTAAGAATAAAATGAAGGAGTTCTGGTAGCGTAGTAACTTAAATTTTGGACTGCTAATCAAAGGCGGTGGGAATCCACCAGCTGCTCCGCTGGAGAAGGCATGGAGGGTAGCCGTGAGTCTGAATGGCTTGACAGAAGTGGATTTGGTTCGGTTTTGTGAAGTCTTTCTATACTGAAGTGTACATAATTAGTAACTGAGCAGGAGTATGTTTAATTTTTTTCCCCTTTTCTTTTAATTGTGATTTCTTTCATTGAAAAGAAATTGTTGATATAGGTTCACAAATACTACTTACTATAGTATCGTGCTAAAATACAAGGAAATTTACCAAAATTATAAAAACACTGGCAGTAAAAAAACCCCACCAATAGCTGACATGTAGATCGTACCAACCAAGAGAGCACCAACCGAGCCAGCCAGGAGTCGCCCCTGGAATCTTCTCATCCGTAGTCAGACGGGTTATCCATTGCACCACTGGCCCTGGGCTCTATGAGGAGAAATGTGGGGTCTAGATTGGTGGACGATTTATCAACAATCTGCGTTATGCAGATGACACAACCCGGCTTGCTGAAACTGAGGAGGACCTGAAATGCTTGCTGCAGAGGGTCAAGGACTGCAGCCTTCAGTATGGATTGAGGCTCAATGTCAAGAAGACAAAGATTCTCACCACTGGGCCAATGGACAGCATCAGGATGGATGGTGAAGAGACTGAGATTGTTCACAGCTTTAGTTTGCTCGGCTCCACGGTCAAGACTCTTGGCACCACCAGCCAGGAAATTAAATGACATATTGTGATGGGAAAGTCTGCTGTTAGGGACCTCTGCAAAGTACTGAAGAGCAATGGTGTCTCTCTGGAGACTAAGGTGTGTCTGATACAGGCCATGGTCTTTGCAAGCACTTGTTATACA